TTTGCTATAAAAATGAATTTTCAGATAATCTTAAGGAAATTTTTATATCAAAATTACCTGTGATAAATTTTGGAGGTGCTTCTTAATTGGATTGTTTAAGGTTGCAACCTTATAAAAACCATACCCTTATTAAAATGGAAAAGTTTATATAAGTTGCAACCTCAAAATGTAGAATTAAGGCGTACCTCAAAAATTCTTTACAAAAGGTTGTTTTGAGTTCGAAGACCTTCTAATTGATCATATCGACATTGATATGCATAAATATGAAAATAAAATAAGATTTTGAGTCTTAAAAATAGTGTATATTGCAACACATTATATGGAATGTCCATTTTCAAGATTTTCGAATGTTTATAGATCTAGTCATTTGAACCGGTTTTAGAATTTAAGATTTTATAATTATAATTGAAATAAAATTTCAAGACATTCTAAAAATTTTTATGCAAAAATTATGCTTATTATAAAATTTAGAGTCGCCTTAATTTGATTGTTTAAGGTTGCAACATTAAACAAACCACAACCTTGTTAAATTGTGGGTATCCAAACTAGTCTCTTTATCACGATTAACAGCAAGAGGGGCAAATTAGTTACTTGGCTTCCACTTTTCTTTTGGAGTGGTAACTCAAGACTCTCACTATTTATCAAAAACTGATGTATAATAAGAGTAATATCTTGGAAAAAAAGAAGAAGTAAAGTGAAAGATGAGAGAAAGGGATAGAATTTGAAATGAGTGGCATGGCAATAAGAGATACAATTCGAAATAAATATATATGAGAGATCTTAGGTGTAACTCTAATAGGTAATAAGATAAAAAAAATAGATTTAGATGAGCTGGCTATGTGCAACATGAACCCAATATAACACCTATTAGGAGGTGCAAGTTAGTTCAAGGAGAAGACTAAAAAAGGCAATGGCCCAAAAAGATATAATTGGAAGTAGTGCGAAAAGATACGGTGACTTATGACTTTATTGAGGATATAACTATTGACAGAGCAAAATAGTGGTCAGAATTCATATAGCCGACTGCAAATAGTTAGAAAAAAGCTCTGATGATAACGATAATAGAGTTATACATAAGAAGATCAGAGCTTTGCAGATGCCTTTGACAACCTTTTGTTCTTAAAGCATCAATAAGCCGCAGGAATTATGACACAAGAAACTAGCAAAATCATCCATCCACCTTGTAATCAATACAAAAATACACTCTTTGTTGGCTCCACTACCCTGATATCTACCTCAAACTTTAGCCGTCCTGAAAGCCCCTCTCACATTATGTGTATTGGAGGAGCACGCTCGTGTTGAGCTCGATGTTTGACCAAAGTTCATCAATATCTCTATTCCTTTCCTTATTGGTACGATTCATTGGAAGATTACCTATGTCTCTCAAGCAAAGTTTAAAAAATCTTCGATTTAGATTGGAATCATTTAATCTGAATCGAAAATTATCAACGTCGAATTGATTATGGTTCCCTCCCATGACATGCCGATATTGTAAGAGATCTGACTGGTTCTAGCAGAACATTCCCTTTTTTATTTTTATTATGTCATAGAACCAAGCAAAATTGTCCTTTTTCAAAATTTAAAACTTTTTTAATATCAGGTTTGGGAATCCAGATTGCCGATCCACTGAATCAGATTGAAAATCCAGAGAGACAATCTGGATCATAGAACGGTGTTTTTAAATCTTGCTTTCAAGCATTGCTCAATTTCACTAAAATTTGTGTCCTACCCTGCACCATACCATAGTATTACCTATGTTGAATCTCCTATCTATAATTACTATTGTGGGAAGGCGCTAGGCGTTCTTGTACCCATTCTTAAGGGCCTATAGCTCCGCTTTGTTAGGTATGTGTGCATTTAGTTTGTAGAAGCTCATACTCCCTTGGGAAAGGGGCTGGGGTCGTGGTGGTAGCACCCCACACCGTAATCATCATGTTATGGTTTTCATTTCCATTAACACCACCCACTAACACTTTCAAAAAACTAACTATTTTTAAACTATTTGAAAAAAATGGGTAGGGGCCTGCTTTCCACAGAATTACCCAAAAAATACAAAATAAGCTAAGACTCCTTGGACCCAAAATTTTTATCAAGATTTATAGGGCTTGAAATTTTGTGAAGGTGTCTTGATTTACTCTGTGTTCAACTTCAGTAGAATAAAAAAGTTCAAATCGGGCTTAGGCTTGAATGGCTAGTTGTTGATATTTAGTAGTGTTGTACCTCAAATTTTAGTCCTACCACTAAACTACTCGACCAATAATAAATAAATAAACAAACGATGCAATTTCCATGAGCCTTAGGTGAAAACAAAATACAACCTCACTATACACTATTTTTCATAACAGTAATTGCCAAGGTCGAGAGATTGATTTGAAGGTTTTTTGATGTCAGAACTATAAGTTCCTGTGTGTTATGAGATAAAGCTTTACTTATTGGGCAATGATTTCATGCAACCGTTGTATAGTAATATGATGCAACAACCTTAAAAAACCATCTTATGGCCATTTGTTGGATCCAAATTTTGAAATATACACTCTTTTCATTCTAATGAAAAATCATAAAAAAAGAAAAAATTGAAAACATAACCTAGAAAATATTTTTTTACCCCAATTAACATAGGCCATTCATTTTGGTGAGATGCTTAGATCTAGGCTTTAGAATGATTTTTTCGTTTCCAAATTTGTTGGATGATTTTATTATCATTAGATGAACAATGTTAAAAAAGGAAAAAATAATTTTGAGTTTATAAAGGCTAAGATTTTGAAATTCATAAAATGCATGGTCTAGATCCGTTTTTGGAGGGGACTAATTTTGACAATATCTAGGATTAAAATTGAACGTTTTTTGGGGGGGGGGGGGATTGATTATTGAGATGGAGAGAGTGCGTGTGCAAAATTTGAGGTCATACAAATATCACAAACATGGTTTTCTAGAAGTGCCATTGCATTATACTATGATACCACCATTGCATTCGATCATTACTCTTACTTATTTGGAAAAGTTATTCATGAGTGACTCACCAACATCTATCTCTAAGATATACATTGCAAAAAACCCACATGCTAAAATGAATTTAGATGGTATAGAAACTTTCATAAAAAATCACATTTTAAATATTGAAAATCTTATTTTATTTTTATATTGATGATCATCTTAACATAAGATCATAAGTGCCTAAATTTTTGAATTAAAAATCCATTCTTAAGATAGGTTTAAGTGGGGGACCGCATATATACAATATGAGTTAGTGGACTCATAGAAGCCCATCCTACGTATTTCGAAAACTATTTTCCAAAAAAATAAAAAAAATAAAAAAAATGGAAAAGTTCATGGGTTATCAGCCATGTTGTACATGTATCTCAACCGTCCCTCGTCAAAAAGAACAATTACGATGATCGAAGAACATGATGTGCAAGAAAAATCATAAGTTATTTTCCCTCCACTGTTTGAAAATTGAGCACGATCCCATATTCAGTTTACTACAGTAGTAGAATATTCAAAGGGAAAGCTCCATCTGCCAAAACAAGTATGATTCTAAGAAAGAGAAAGCAGATATGGCCATGACACCTTATCTTCTCCGCCTTATCCCAATTTGTAGTCACGTGAAATTATAAAGCACAAAACTAGGGTATGGATGCTTTCGTCATTTAATGATGTATAAAGGGTAGCTGGTCATTTCCCATAAAAAAAACCTCTCTCACGTTCTCCTTACTCAAGTAAATTAAAAGAAATTAAAAATTCTAAAAACTAAAATTATTATTTGCAATATTTTTGTTTTATTTTCTATCATTTTGAAAAAGATTTGAAAATATGTTGGCCATAAAAAAAGTTAATCTCTATTTTTTTCATTTTTTGGAATATTTGAAAGGGATTGTACTTCTAGTCAAGTAAATCTTTTTTTTTTACTATTTTTTTAACCTCATTTTATTGTGTTTTTGCTTAGGGACACATTTTCTACGAATCCATGTAGAAATGAGTCGTCTCTTAAAAACTATTTTTGAGATGGACTTTTGCTTCTGGACTTAATTTTCAAGGATATGTAATCTTTAATATGGAGATCCTAAATATGAAAAAATTAATAAGTTTTGGAAATTTTCTATTAAAAAAATATTTGAACCGCTTGTTTCAATTGTTTTTAAATGGGCCACGTATTTGCATCCATCTTTAAAATAGATGCTTTATACCTCGGGGACCACAAATGTAGAAATGCAGTCCCGACTGCATGAAACAATTTTCCTGTGCTTAAACTTACCTCTCCTATTTTTTATTTTTGTTTTTTTTAATTTTGTTTTTTTACTGCTACAGTACTTAGGCCGAGTACTTGGATCATGCATGGGCTGAGTACTCACTCCAAGCAATGGTTTCAAACACCACCCCTCACTTTTTTTCTCTCATGATTGACGGCTCAGTTTCGAATTCCATCTAGGGTTGGCAACGGGTTGGTTTCCGGTCCCAATTGTCCTACCCTAGAAAAGGGTGGCTTGAGAGCCAAGCTAGGGTTGGGTTACAAAGGGCCAAGGGTCGTGCCAAGCCAGCCGACCCTGTCCCTCTTTATTAATGATTTATTTTGTTTTTCATTTGTTTTTGGGCCCGGCTCAAAAAAGGCTAACCTATTTTGCCTTGTTTTGGCTTGGCCAGGCCTTGGTCAGCCCTATAAGATTAAGGGCCAAGGTAGTCCCACCCCAAGCCTAGCTCGTTACCACACCTAATTTCACCCTTATGGCCTAGGCCCAGGCCCTGGTCTGGACTAGGCTGGGCCTAATAAAAATATAAAATATTAAAATAAAATAAAAGAAACTACTGGACCGGGCCAACGCCCTCGCCCAGCTGAGGCCCTAAGCCACATGCCGAGCCCTACTGTTTAGGGCCGGGCTCGCCGGTCATTAGAAAGTTTGAACCGTTCCGTCCTCTCCATCAGTCTGCTCACTCTGTCTGCTGCCCTGGTGAAATTCTTAAATGGACCACATCGTCCAGGAAAGCTGCATTCTCTCGCTCTTCATCTCCCCTTCTCTCACCACCACTCATTTTACTCATGTTTTCATCCGTTAATGCTCCTTTTCAAACATTCCTCTCCACACTTCAAAAACTTAAGAATCACAAAACCAGCACAATCCCCACAATCCACGAACATGCCCAACAATCGCTCTGCAACTCCGCCCCTTCATCCATGGCCGCCATGACCCTAACCCTATTCCTAATCTGATCCCTCTTCCTCCTCTCTCTGAAATGACTTCTACTTCCTCTCCCACTTACTTTTTCTCCTCTAATGCCTCCAATTCTCTCTACAAAAACCCTAACTTCTGCAATTTCAAACACTCCCCTCTCCTCATCCACTTCACCAGAGCTCTCCAAAACCCGAATGGCCTCCGCCCCCTCCCTATTCTCCGGCCAAATCGCCGGAGTCCGCGACCAGTTGCTGGAATATCACAATTTGCAGAGGATTCCGGCCATGAAAAGCTCAACCAAACACTGAAGTCCTCAGATGCAAATGATCTCCCTGAAATGGCTCGAGCCTTCAATGTATCTTCGCAAACGGCCTCAGCAATCACAGTCTGCACAGCCGTGGCCGCCCTTTCCTTTCCTCTTCTCATGAAATCGTTGGGGCAAGGAATGGCCATGAAAACTAGGGTTTTATCGTACATAACCTTGCTCTCTGGTTTCTACATGGCCTGGAACATAGGGGCAAACGATGTAGCAAACGCCATGGGAACAAGTGTAGGGAGTGGAGCTTTAAGCTTGAGGCAAGCAGTGGTTACAGCCGCTATTCTCGAGTTCTCTGGAGCTTTGTTAATGGGGACTCACGTTACGAGCACCATGCAAAAGGGGCTTTTGGTGGCCTCTGTGTTCAATGGAAATGCGTCGCTTCTTTTTGCTGGGCTTCTCTCTTCTCTCGCAGCTGCCGGAACTTGGTTGCAAGTGAGTTGATCATCCTGTTTTCCGGTCACTGGTTCATTTTACGGCGGAATCATGGCCGCACTCTACAACTATCCGGCGAACTGGTTTTCCGGCGCCGAGAAACGGGTGGCCGTGATCGTTTTTGCTTTGGGTAGTTAGGTGATGCAATCCACCTTTCGTTCAGAAAACGGAAGGTGGTGATGAATTACCGTACGGACGATAGGAAGTCCAATTCCGATATAACTATTCATTTCCCCGTCGATTATCTGAACGGACGGTAAATTGCGGCCCGGGTACCAACCACGTGCACAACGTCCGGAACCTAACAAGCTGGCCACTCACGTTTTATCTGTGATGGTAATCATTGGTATTTTCCACCCATAGAGATGGTGGAAATACCAATGTTAGGATGTGCATAATTAATAATTTTAAGGATGCAGTTTGTACGGGCAAAGGTTCTAAACAATCAATGTAAAGCCTACCTTCAACCAAAGTAAAACATACCTTCAAATTGTGTCGTGTGGTTTAAATACTGGAAATGTTTGTGATAGCTTTCAAATTTATTTTTATCCGTACTTATAAAATTTAAGGCTTTAAAAATATTGTAGATCTAGCGGATTTATGAAAATCTTGAAAATTAACGGTTCAAAAATGCATTATGAGATGCATTATTTTTAAAACTTGAAATCCATTCTTTTCTCATAAAACAACCTCTTACAGTAAATTTTTTGAGGTGCGCCTTAATTTGATTGTTTAGAGCCTCGCACCTATATAAACTTTTTCTTTATCGGATAATTTAAACCACTATATACTACCTTATGTCACGTGCTTTGAACAAATCGAGGTTAGATGAAAAATAATTTTTGAAATTTTTAAATCAAATGAAATATTCGTGTATATTTCAGATTTTATTTTTATTTTTTAAGTCAATCAACAATATTTTAATAGCTGCTTAATTTTCTATCGAGCCTTCTCTATTTTTCTTTTCTCTTTTTGGAATGCAGGAATTATTAACATATCTATTTTTACCTTAAAATAAAAAAAACAGATTTTTTCTTAAATTTTCTTTTTTTAGATGAGCCAAATTCAATTGTCAAACTTGCTCCTATTTCTTATGTAGAGTAGATTATCTTTTTTTCAAAACAGGATTTGATAAATATGAAAGAGGTTTTTAAAGGGAGGGTAAATACATTTGTTTTTGGTATCATTGATCTTAAATAACAATTCATTGTAATTTTTGAGTTTAGAGATAGTAGGAATGAAAGTTTAGAGAAGGAGAAAGAGAGTGGGAGATTTAAGGAAATTTTGAGGGAAAATAAGAGGAGGAGAAATTTAAAAGTCGCACTTCTATTTATGTACAGTAGCTAATGGAATGTGCATAGATACAAATTAATTTTTTGAATGTTTAATTCAATAGAAACTTTGATATGATACTCTTTACTGTTTTATTTAGTTTTTAAGTCATTGGATATTACTCTTACAACTTTTAAGTAAACTATCTAAGTATCTAGTTTTATTTAATTTTTCATGCTTTATTTCATTTCTTCTATTCAATCTATTTTCTTAGTTCTTTCTAACATAGGTTCCAATTTATTTGAGATTTTACCTCTGTGTTTTTATGAGAAACCCTATGTTGATGGAATTCTGATTTGAATTATGTATAAAACTCTCCTATTCAATCTCTATCACTAAGCTAGGGAGGTTTATCTTTTTTAAACATACCATTCTCCTATTCTCTCTCTCTCTCTCTCTCACACACACACACACACACAGATGCACACATATACACACACATTCAAATATGTATTTAGACTATATCTTCTCCCTTACTGGTAGACATCTGAGTTTGGGTGAGGGAGGTCGACGGTTCGAACTCTTAGAAGCCCATAGCAATTTTAATGGCCATGACCTCCCAAGAATATCCCTCTGTCTAAAGTCTAAAATGATGATTACACCTTGACATTTTGGTTCCTGAGCTGCATATAATTACCATAGCATAGATTGATGATATAGTAGAGATACGTCTGGTTACTATGCTGCATTTATATACCATACTTTATAAACTGATGATAAACTAGAGATGTTTGTTTGGTCTTCTTGAATTATATCTCGTCCTGAGCTGCATATGTGTGTGTGTGTGTGCGTATTTGTGTGTGTGTATGTGTCCATGTGCACGCGTGTGTATGACATAGCTCGTGGCTTGATGATGAAGCAGAGATATATGTCTTTTTTTTTTTGTTCAATCTGTTCTAAGAAAAGTGCAACCTTTACTTCAAGACAATTATCATGATATGGTTTGTTCGGGAAAATTTCATGGGTATGTTTGTTCCTGTAACTTGCTCGAAGCTTAGATTTGAAAGCATGCTATTGGTTCTGCAAATGAACTCATAATCTAGAGTGCACAGCTGAGGGGGCTCTACTCTAAATATGACATCATCCCAATGCCTCTTGTGTATTCATCTTTTTAAAGTTAAATGACGAAATTTGTTGAGTGGCAGAAACATCTGGAGGTAAACTTCTATCATGTTTGATTAATGGAGCTAAGTTTACTCTGAATTTGGAAGACTATGAATGTCATATTTGAGCCTTTCTGTCATTACTTTTGATCATGTGCTGATTTCCAGTTATGTAGGTTTTACTATTTGCAAAAATCGCTGATTCTTGTCCATGGCAAAGTATTTGTTTCTCAACTGTTTGGGTTAGTCAACTGTGCACAAAGTTATTGTTGGCTACTTCAAAAAAGATAAAAGATGTTCTGCCTTTACTTCTACTTTTATAGCTTTATCATTTGGCTTTCAAAAGTAAAGTGGGCAAAAGTGGTTTTCTTCTTTTCTTTTTTGGACTTGAATATTTTTCGTAGGGAATTCTTCCTGAGTTTTGAGTATAATTGTGTTTTCTGTAGCCGCATATTTGTGCAAATGCTTATCCGAATCCATCATGGTCTCTAGATAGCAGATTGTTCTGTTTTCCTGGCACCACTGAGAGTTAGGCTTTAACTTTGATGTGATGTTAGTTTTACCAACTTGTGGGGTTATGTCCATTCAGGTTGCTTCATATTTCGGTTGGCCAGTCTCCACCACGCACTGCATAGTGGGAGCCATGGTGGGTTTTGGTCTTGTCTATGGAGGAGTGGGTGCAGTCTTTTGGAGCTCACTAGCCAGAGTTGCTTCATCCTGGGTCATCTCCCCGGCCATGGGAGCCGCAGCCTCATTCCTTGTCTACAAAGGCATTAGAAGGGTACCATCTCGTACCATAAACTTGTGCACTTACTAACCCCAATCTCTCTCTCTCTGTCACCCTCTGACACACAAACAGACTCACTCACATGGGCGTATGCACACATGGACACATGCTGGCACACACACTCAAGCATGCCATGAGAGCTGCAGTCACTCTCTTTCTGACACACTCTCTCTCTTTCTCTCTCTCTCACGCACACATGCCATGGGTGCTGCAGTCTCCTAGTCTGCGAATCCATTAAAGGGTACTATCTTTCTGCCTTAAACTTTAACTACAACTCACTTCAATTAACTCTCTCGCACTCTCTCCAGTTTGTATACAGTGCCCCGAACCCTGGTCAAGCTGCTGCTGCTGCCGCCCCCATAGGGGTCCTTATAGGTGTGAGTGGTGTCATCTATGCAGCCCTCCCCCTAAGCAAGTCCCTTCCCATCGCAATATGCCAATCTCTCGGATGTGGCATCATCGGTGCAATCCTCATAAGTCGAGTAATCCACAAACAACTCGGCCATCTCCTTCTCAAACCTGAATCCCCTGAACCTGACCCGAGAACCTCCCCTCAAAATCTTGGCTTTCTCTCGGATATCGCTGGCCCAAAAGGAGCTCAACTAGAGATAGTCTATGGGGTCTTTGGCTACATGCAAGTCCTCTCAGCTTGCTTCATGTCTTTTGCTCATGGTGGAAACGATGTTTCCAATGCAATTGGCCCTCTGGCCGCGGCTCTCTCTATCCTCCAAGGTGGGAGCACAGGGGCTGAAATTGTGATCCCGAATGATGTGCTAGCATGGGGTGGGTTTGGGATAGTGGCTGGTTTAATGATGTGGGGTTATAGAGTGATGGCTACAATAGGAAAGAAGATAACTGAGTTGACTCCTACAAGGGGTTTCGCAGCTGAATTTGCAGCTGCATCTGTTGTGATTGTGGCCTCAAAGTTGGGTTTGCCTATATCAGCCACGCACACGCTTGTTGGCGCGGTGATGGGGGTTGGATTTGCTCGTGGGCTTAATAGCGTGAGGGCCGAAACAGTGCGTGAGATTGTGGCCTCTTGGGTGGTCACAATACCAGTTGGAGCGGGGCTTTCTGTTGTGTACACTTGGCTCCTCACTAGGCTTCTTTCATCTGTCTTCTGATTTAGCTTCTTTCATTGCTCATCTGATGGGTTCAGGTAAGTTTTTCTCTCTTTTTATTTGATTGGGCATTTGGGTAATTGTTGCTGTGATGCTCAAAGAGGCTCTATTGTTGTCAGCTTTGTTGTATTATTGCCTTTAGTATGAGAGTAAAATGCTGTAAATATTGTCATCTTGTGAAATCACTATCATTTTCTGAAAATGAGTGGAAGACGAATTACAAAATTTATTTCATCTTTTATCTGATACTTCAGGTCAGTTTTGCTGTGGGACACTGAGAGTGAAGTGTTTTGTCCCATGGCCTGCATTGCGATGATAAATGCCCCGTAAATGTACCAGTCCACACACACACACACAAATATAAAGAAAAAATGCCTGCATATGTTGACTTGTTTATCAATAAAATTAGAAGAATAGAAAGCAACAAACTCCATTTATCCTGTTTTATCTTTCATCTGATGACTTCAGTTCAGTTTCACTACCATACACTTTGAGTGGCATTGTTTTTCCACTGGCTGTAATGTGCAGTGTTCCTGTACATCATGATTTTTCAAGCAATCTTATGTTTGTTCAAAAGTGGCTTTATTTTTCCACTGGCTGTAATGGGCAGTGTACATGTTGATTTTTCAAGCAATCTTATATTTGTTCAAAAGTGGCTTTGTTTTTCCACCGGCTGTGATGTGCATTGTTCCTGTACATGTTGACTTTTCAAGCAATCTTATATGGGCAAGCTTTCTATGCTTCCCCTACAACATGAAACTTATATACTTCCCCTTATCCAACCGTCTATTCTGAATGGAGGGCTAAGATTGCCCTAATCACAATGTCATGTCTCTACATTATTTTACTTTTATTTATTTTTATATAAACTATTTTGACACCAAATTTTGTACGTCCAATCCTCTATTAAACTCGCACTAGAGAAAAATATATATAAAAAAATTTTCCAATCAAATAAAATGACCAAAATACCCCTGAAAGTTTCAAGGGGTATTTTGGTCATTATATTTTATCGAAAATTTGTTTTAAATATTTTTTACCAAATTTCATATCAATACAATTTGTATAAAAAAATAAAAATAAAATACTCTGAGACTCTGAGACGTTGGATCTATAAGATCAAACGGTGAGTGGCTCTCTTGATCAAAATTGGACGGCTAGATGGTAGGGGAAGCATGGATCTTCTATGCTATAGAGGAAGTATAGAAACCTTTCCCATCTTATATTAGTTCAAATATGAGGCAAAAAACATACCAACTTCATCTCATCTTTCATCTGATGCTTTAACATTAGAAATGTTGTGATACAATGTAATTGACTCTGAGTGATCAATTGTTTTGGTGATTTAGTCTTAAGAGCAAGCCTGCATTCCTGTATATGTCGACATTCCTGTATATGTTGACTTGTTTATCAATGAAATGAGAACAGAAAAGTAGAAAATCCATCAGTTCATTTTGTCTTTCATCTGATAGCTTCTGTTCATTTTCGCTACTACACGCTTTGAGTAGCTTTGTTTAACCATGGGCTGTAATGTGCAGTATGCCTGTACATATTAACTTTCTAAGCATTATTAGTTTAAATATGAGCCGAAAACCATACCAACTTCATCTTATATTTCATTTGATGCTTTGACAATAGAATTGGTGTGATACAATGTAATTGACTCCAATAAAGTGAGTTCTGTTGTTTTAGTGATTTGGTCCTACACATTTTTGTCTTTATGAACCTTAAATCCTTTTCTTGATTATCAAAATGAAAAATCTATTGTGTTTATCTTTTTTTTATCAATCTATTTTGTATTCTTTCTTGAGTTTTTTGTTTTCAAACTTTGAAATAAAAGTGTGCGATCATACCTACTTTCTGATGGTTCTACATTGACTACCCGAAATAAAATTGTTGTGAGAAACCTAAAACATAAACTACAGATCTTGATCAGATATGTGCAGGTGGTTCACTCTCGAATGGCTATTGTGGATTATTATGCTCATGATAGCCATTGGCAGCATCCCCGAGACACCAATTATGTATTACTTCTGAGGCTTCCAATATCTTACTTGATTCTGTCCCGGTCGTTGTCCCCAAATGTTGTCCGGGAATTCAGAAAAAACAAAAAGAAAAAAAAAAAAAAAAAAAAGAAAGAAGAAGAAGAAGAAGAAGAAGAAATTGTTGAGGTTCACTACTTGTGGACTGCTTCATCCATACCCTTTCTTTTATTGTCCCTTTTGTTCTGATTTGGATAGAGTAATAGATTTTACTTTTGCAATTTATATCTGTGGAAGAAAGAAAGAGTTCATTCCCTTCAAGAAGAAATAAAGAGGAAAACCAAAAAAACACTACTCGAGAAAAAGCCTCGTGCAGTTTGCATGCACTAGCAAAGGCACATACATTTATTAGGGATCATTTTGTCACAATAGATTTAAATGAGATGACGAATGTGTGGATTATTTTATTTATCATGGAAGACAAGTTGACGGTTTTCTTTTCATATTTTCTATCGGAAAGATTCAGTGGTCTAGCGGGCTACTATCAATTTTTAAAAAATAAAATAATAATTAGGGTGCAGTCGGCATACAGATGCATTTGTAGCTGTAGAGGTAAGGTGCACTTTCAAATTTTATCATGGTATATAATTTTGATGTAAAATGTTTTTAGGATTATATCAAGTTCTATTTTTATATCTAATCATAAAATTTAAATTTCAAAAATGGTTAAAATAAAGTAGATCTATAAATATATGAAAATCTTAAAAATAGGCTATGTTGATATATGTTGTAAAATGCACTATTTTTTAAATTTAAAATCTTTTTATTTTTCATGGTCATATGTCTCCGTATCGAGACGACCAATCAAAGGGTTTTTCAACATTAAAATTATCTTTTCGGATGGATTTTTGGGGGGCATCGTAGTTATGGAGGTAAGGTTGCAACCTTATATAAACTTTTTCCTAATAATTAAAAAAGACAAGAGAGATTGGGACTTAAATTATGCAATTTCTCCCTTAAAGACTCTACTCTAGACTGTCCCTTCAATGGAGGATCAGGTCTAGGGTTTAAAGGTAGTCAAATCATCGAAACAACTTTATAATCATCACTTTATGAGATCTATTTCTCTCATACCTCTATAAAAGTTCTTTTTAAGGATGCCCAAAGTGCCCCTTTTGAGGATTTGAAACCTTGAACAATTTAGGACATTTTGGTAACTTTGCCCTATTTTAGTGACTATGAGGAATACCTTGTTTTCGGTTCTTAATATCGAACATGATATTCATAATCAAAAGTTACTGTTAGAATTTTATTTTATTTATTTATTGGTTTCTTACACACCGTTGACTGGTATTTTATTGAGGAAATAAAAATGAAGTACAATCAGACCGGAGGCGCTTGAGGAAAGAAGAAAAGGGAGAAAACGAAAAGGAAATAAAATAAAAGATTACAACAAAGAAGCAGATTTAGCTAGCCCATCCGCTGAAGAATTCCTTTCATGTTAACAAGTGAAAAGAAAACTTGTTTGCCCCTCAAATGGGATACAATCTTCGACATATCAGCCGCGCCCACACCCATGGAATGGAAGGTGGGTCTGAGCACCATTTCATAACATTGGAGGAAACTTTCGTAGGCGATTCGGGTAACTATAGGTCAGATAAGAGCTTAGAGATTTTCAAGTTGATGATGAGTGAGAATCAAATCGAGTTCAAATGTGTTTTCAAGTATCTTAAGAACATGAGTTTAATCAAAATTAACAAACTAAAATGAAATTTAAGAGCTAGGAATAAAATAGACCTATCTAAAACAAAAAATATATTTTTTTGTATTTTTTTAAAATTTTAGTTTGATCTGAAATTTTGTGAATGGTCACCAGAGAGGCCTTGGAATAGGGTTGCAAATTCCCAGAAAGTTCTGAGACTTTTTGATTTGGGCGACACATGATGTGTCATTCTAGCAGTATACAGACATGTCATATTTAGAATGTCGATTTGATATATTATATAAACTATTAATTTTCTAGTGTTCATATATTTGCTTGATCTACACTATTTTTAAATATTTTAATTTTATAATTAGAGACGAAAATAAATTTTCATGCCATCACAAAGATTTATGATACTGAAACAATAAGTTCTAACACTATTTGAAGGTGCACCTTACTTTGATTGGTTAAGGCCTCAGGTTTATACAAACCAAACCCTTACTTTGATTGGTTAAGGCCTCAGGTTTATACAAACCACACCCTTACTTTGATTGGTTAAGGCCTCAGGTTTTTATACAAACCACACCCTTACGCTAATATCTCTTAGGGGTATTTAACAAAAGCAAATGTAGAGAGCAAGATTATTTGTTTTGGATTAGTATACCATGAGACTATTTATCTTGTTGCAACGAGGTCACCATTACCACTAGCCATTTGAGGTCAAATTGGATGGCTTTGAGTGTAATACAAAGTTCAAGATTTTTTATTTTTTTTAATTTTTAGTCTAGCCAATGACACATTCACAACTACCCGAGCAGAGAAGAATGATGGTGACCTCCTTATATCAAAAAGTAAATCGTCCCGTTATATACATTTTTATTTATTTTTAGTATACGTTAGATGTGAAATTGGTGGTTAGAGATTTGTCAATGACTATAAATGAAGTCCAAAATAAAATTTTTCAAATGTTGTGATACAATTCAATCTGTTTGTTTTATATCCAATGGCTAAAAGTAATTTTTAGACACTCATTTATAAAAGATATTTTTGATACATGCATCTAAGTTTATATAACATAAAGGATAAGGTTTCTGTAAGGCATAGGATTTATGAAAATAAAAGAAATCCTCATCTCAAATCCTCATCAGGAATTTACTTTTAGCGATAAAAATTTCTACAATGGCTCTAAAATAAATTTCAATGACGACAATAAAATCTGAAACTCGAAAAATGATACAGATCTTGCAGATCCGTGAACACATATTTTTGAAGAGTATGCAACCACAGTTTGTAGCATCGACCTCTAACTGATCGGAGTTTAACCTACAGTCCAAATCACCTACAAAGTCAGCATCAATAACACAAAGAGCGATTTCAAATGGAGAGAGAGAGAGAGAGAGAGAGAGAGAGAGAGAGAGAGAGAGGAGAGAGAGAGAGAGAGAGAGAGAGTAGTAGTAGTAACGTTAGTAGTAGTAGTTAGTTAAGTTACGTACGTTACGTCTACGTTACGT